AAAAACAAACTACTTGCAAATGAAAACAGACCAAGCTAAATAAAAAACAAACTACCTGCAAATGAAAACAGACCAAGCTAAATAAAAAACAAACTACCTGCAAATGAAAACAGACCAAGCTAAATAAAAAACAAACTACCTGCAAATGAAAACAGAACAAGCTAAATAAAAAACAAACTACCTGCAAATGGATCATCATCAATAACTTCTTCAATGTTATCAGTTGAAACTGATTTATTTTCGGTTCCTAAGGTGACTTGAATATTTCCCTTGGAGTCAATGGTAGCAAATATCTCATCATCTGTGAGTGTTTCTATATCACGCGATGCACGTTTACCAATTTGATATACCTATAAAAAACAAATTAACCTGCAATATTAATCATTGTTGATTTTCAAACTCTGTTGATAATTAATTACTTTTAAAAAGTTTATTAGTTAAATTTTGAAATCACTGACTATATAGATAAAAGTTGCAAGAATCCTTAGTTATTTATACACTTCTGTTCTCTTGCATCTATGGCTTCAAGCCAAATAAATTTAAATATTTATATGGTCATTGTACACTGTGAATAAAATATCTGATAAACTCTTTTACATGTTGAATTATATCAAATTATTTTTTAAATAACTGAAACATTAGTAATTTGTAAAGCAAAATTATAAAAAAAAAATCACAGTGAGTAGAAGGTGATAGAAGGTCACCCAACCTCAAAATTAATATCAAATCACATCCTAAAACTGAATTAAAGTTATAGCAAAGATAAATGATCCACTGAAATGTTCCATTATCTAAGTAGTAAATTCTGTATCATAGCCAATATGGCCCTGTTTCCTGACTTTGAAATATCTGTTATTTAACAATCATACTTAACATCCTTAAATTATCAACTTGTATTATGTATTACATACACATCTCTATAAAGAGGTAACTTCAATACTCATGTTTTACAAAACAGCATGATTAATTTTAATTAAAGAATATTTATAGGTTAAATTTTAAATTTCTTAAAAAGAAGTTGACATTTTTCTATGGTGTTCAAACTATTAAAATTAGCAATTTTTATGAAGTAGATATTCATACAAGTAATGAAGGAATATGTGTTTTCCAGCTATCATTAATTTTAAATTATATTCAGATCATGTGGTACAGGCAATTCAGGACTTCAATATAAGCAGTTGACATAGAAATGTTTTTGAAATTTACAAATATTTAGCCTTTATCGTATTGATTGAACTTTTAATTAAGGATAGACATTAGGAAATAATGTGTAAGTGTTTGTATCTTGATAATCAAGTACTCTCTCTTCTACAGCCAGTTTGTATACTCATGAGAAAATTTACCATATATTACCCTATGCAAATTCTGCTGTTTTCCTGTATAGATCATTTGTTTCAAATATAAAATATTAGTCTGTGTAGCTATTGCTTCTAAAAACATCAACATTTTTTTTATCTGTGGTTTTGAGTTTGTTTTACTTCACCACATAATTTAGGTATATGAATAACATTATGACATTTTATCAAATTCATTATTCAATATTATACAACGGACCTACTGTTTAATGAAATCTTTAACATATATATATACATATAAACATTAGATGTTTTTGTTTCTTCAATGAGATAGCATAGTTATCTTATAGAACTAATGTTACATAGTTTAACTCCAAAGAAATTAAAATTATCAACTCACTAATAGAGCCTATAACAGTTTTTCAGTTTTGTTGTTTCATTTGTTTGAGAGAAAAGTAATATTTCATTTTAGATTTAGTGATATGTTATTGTTTAAGTTACAGTAGCATTCTTATCTTGTACTATAAACCTTTATTTTTTTACATTTGAGTAAATTATTAGAAATCCTACATTTCATGTGCTTATCATAATTATAGCAGTTTTCAACTGGAACTAGATACATATGTGTAGTAGCAAATATTTCTGGCATAAATTCCAGTCTGAAGCTCAAATCAGGGGTGGATTGGTATTAAAGGACCAGCCCGGGTAATATCACATGCAGCATACTTGCTAGCCAACTAAAATTTAAAATCAATTTCAAAGAATTCATCAAATGTACTGGCCCACCAGACAATTGCCTGGTATCCCAGTGGGCCATTCTGCCCTTGGCTGAAGTTTATAAAAAACTATGAGACTTTATGAAGTCAGAGAAGATTAAAGAGGCTATAATTCATCTGTCCTTTGAAAACATTGTACTACAAGTACTGCCATCTGCTGAAAACATTGTACTACAAGTACTGCCATCTGATGAAAACATTGTACTCCAAGTAATGCCATTTGTTAAAAACACTGTACTC